GCTTTTCTTGTAAATTCTATAATTTTACAAAGAAAGGTCATGTGGAATCGGGAGAGGTCTCATTTAATCAGAAATGTGCGGGCTACAAGCATGGCCAATTAAGGAAACCTTTGGTTGTTTTACAGAGTTTCTGAAAAACTGGTTTTTCAGAAAATCGGCTCTTCGAAACCCTAAGAGCAGCTCTCATATTCATATTCGGAATCAGCATCATCGATAACCTAGAATCCACTAGGTTTCGTTGAAAAAGCGAGGGGGCACTTGAAAATGTCCCCTCGTTAGCATTAAAAAGAGCCAATCAATTAAAAGTATTTCTGGTGTAAAGTGACAAAAAGACACTTAATTTCATGCATTTGATATTGGCTTTCAATTCCAAAGCAATACAGTTGAATGTCTCTTCGCCTCTTTACATCAACAAGAGTTTTCAATATTTAGCAGTGACTTTCAGATGATCAGCAATTATGAGCATTCTGACCGTTTGAAACTAAACTAAACTTGGGCGAGAAGTATTTGTCGACCTAGCAAAACTCCAAATACTGTTTCGGGCACCAAATCATGAATTTCAGGTATGGTCTGAAATTAATTCAGTTTTCATAAGTGCGTGATGCTCCACAGACAGCTAAGAAAAATCTTTCTAATGGTGGGCGAAAAAGTTATTTTTACGGGGTTAGCTAGAAATATGTAATATCTCTGTAACTGAACAATTATAATAGCTGATAATTTAAAATTTTGCGTGAATACAGTTATACTCAATAGTTAAAAAGGTAGCATCTTATGTACACCAACCCGTTTTTGTTATTTTAGTGCAATCAGTAAAAGAATATCGAAATAAAAAAAAATTTTGACTAATAAATGATTTTATCAATTAGACACTATTTCAAATAAAGTTACTGATTACCCAAAAATACCTTCATGCCTGTAAAATATTCATACAAGTTTCAAGGCTGAGTGCGGTATGCCGTAGGATATAGGTAATCTGTCAGTAGGCGATGATAAATGCCGTTTGAAGGGTCAGCGCTCACCTTTTTCACCATAATGCGAACATCACGTATATTTCATATTCATGTCAAAATATAATAATGCTTCATCGTTCTCAAATCCACTCCATACAATTTTTACCTGATCATAAAAATTTCAATTAAACGGGTTAATTTTGATTGAGCTATACAAAGGATGAATCCCCATTTGATAAAGATTTGACCCATTTTTACTGGCATACTTTTTGTACTCAGAATCGATTGATTCTAGTATTTTACGATACGCTGAATAATTTGGTGGAGTCAGAATGGTTCCAGGATCTCATAGAAAAATTTTTAGACCCATAGTACTTTGTAGGTATATACGGACATGTATCATGTGTAAAGAACAAGATCTACCGAGTTACAGAAGACGAGTGAAGCCGAAAATAATACAGATTCTGAAAGTTGGCTTCTTCTTCTGTAAATAGAGAATAACACAAAGTTAAAATATTACATAGACAAAGAGCAGAGAGGAACGAGCTCGCCGATGTCAGAATCATGTGATACATTGAGATACAAAGTATTTATTATCTCAGGAACGAAAAGAGACGACAACACCTTATTTTTACAGTGAATAGAAGAGATGAAGCTCTACAAAACTGACATATCCACTCGCTTCAAATTCACGTTCTTTTAGCACAATAGTCACAAAAATGACATGTGTATAGTAAAAAAGACGTCTTTAGAGATATAAAGTATTTATTATCTCAGAAACGAAAAGAGACGAACAGAACCGTATATTGACAGTGAATAGAAGACATGAAGCTCTGCAAAATGAGTACGTTGACTTGAATCCATGTTCAGAGACAGTTGACTATCACATATAGCCACTTTTCTTCTGATCTATAAAACGAACGAAAAAAAGCCATCGTGCTTCTATAGAAGCACAATATATGGGATAGTCACCTGTCTTTTTCAACTAGTGTCTTCTTCTTCTTTTTTTACTTTTGACATCTCTGCCTAAGTAACATTTGTTTGCTATAAACGTTCTATGCGTATAGCTCAAATTCAGCAATGGACTCAGTGGAAAGTCAAACAGCTTCTTAAGTTTGCGTTGTAAGTCACATGAACATTCATAACGAGAAACAAACTCTCGATTTCGTCTACATAGTGACTTGATGTCTCTGTTATGCGAAAAGAACGTGGATTCAAGTCAACATACTCATTTTGCAGAGCTTCATCTCTTCTATTCACTGTAAAAATAAGGTGTTGTCGTCTCTTTTCGTTCCTGAGATAATAAATACTTTGTATCTCAATGTATCACATGATTCTGACATCGGCGAGCTCGTTCTTCTCTGCTCTCTGTCTATGTAATATTTTAACTTTGTGTTATTCTCTATTTACAGAAGAAGAAGCCAGCTTTCAGAATCTGTATTATTTTCGGCTTCACTTGTCTTCTGTAACTCGGTAGATCTTGTTCTTTACACATGATACATGTCCGTATATACCTACAAAGTACTATGGGTCTAAAAATTTTTCTATGAGGTCCTGGAACCATTCTGACTCCACCAAATTATTCAGCGCATCGTAAAATACTAGAGTCAATCGATTCTGAGTACAAAAAGTATGCCAGTAAAAATGGGTCAAATCTTTATCAAATGGGGATTCATCCTTTTAGTAAAAGTGTAAAGCAAAAAGAAACTATACATCAAAAGTCACTTTCAAAGTTGGTGCAGATTTCGAGAATCACGGTGATCTATCATTATACTTCGCACGAGTATAACGTCGATGTATAGCTATTTTTTTATTTACAATTTAGTGAAAAAATAATAAATCTCTGTAACTATGCTTCTAGATGAGCTGAAGCTTCGTGATCAGCATATCACGATCGCTACATTCACACAAAAATTTAAGTTTTTATCTATCATAATTGTTCAGTTTCTTATGTCACATACTTTTAACCAGCGCTAGTTGTGTATGTAATAAAGCTCCTTGAAATAAAGCATTCGTCTTTTAGAGTAAAAGTTAGTGAAGACACAAACACTATACTTTAGCTAACTATACTGAATGCTTTTTTTGTTGTGATCGAAAAAATACAGCTACGGTTCATTAAGTATTGACATAATGGATTACTATTGATTTCGTCTACCCCGCTTTCACTTCCATTAATTCGATAATTAACATATGTAGAAGAGAAATTTATGTTGCATCTTTTTCCATTTTGAGATAATTGATACTTTTGCACAATACCATTAGTTATCACTTCTTTGGAAAATTATGTGTAGACTTCACGTTGTAAGGTCTTATTCAGTCGAAAAACTTATTCTTAAAGATAAAATTTTTTCAATAAGTGAGTCAGACACATATTTGGATAATGGTGAGTGTATTTATTTTCAGAAGTGAAGACCTCAACATCAAAGAACTCCAATACTTTTTAGAAAATTCTCGAACTTCTGAGATTTTCGCAGTTGTGCAATGTTCAGCCGCTCGATACAGAAAACGATGTTCTTTTCAGAATGAGACTAAAGTATCTGTGGTAAAATTTCCACCTCGATCGGACCACTTTTTCGAAGGATCGTAATGTGATCTGATGAAAACTAGAATTTTCTAGAAAACCCATAAGTTGGCATATCGGCATTCTGCATATTTGATCGCTACACTGTAAAAGAACCAAGGGGAAAACAGCTGATTTTTGAGCTTAACAAATCGGTTTAAATCGAAAATCGCTAAAAGTCGAACGACTTTAGTTGAAGAAAAGCATTTTGATGGTCTACATTAATTTCACCTCATTCACATCCATCACATAGTAAAAAATATTGTGTCGCATTTTGTGTTGCAGTAAAATGTGTCCCAGCTCCTGTGAGAAAATTGTATCGCAAAAGAATGTGTCGCGTGTTTGTGGCGCCGTTACTAAGAGCTTTTAGACACAGGTTTTGAGGCCGTTTGAGGATCTACTCTGTTAAAAAACTTGCTAAATTTTATGTTTTACTATTTTCAGTAGTCTTCATTAAGATTTTTCTTGGCTTCTTTTCAATTTTGATGAGCTATAGGTGGCGCTAATACGTAAAAGATAAGAGAATTTTCGGGCTTTTTAAGCTCTTTCAATTTTTCATTGATGTTATTTGTGGCTACAGATTCCTATCTAAGTCTTTTTAACCTTTTTTCTATGTTAAACATTTTTTCTTTGACGAAAACCAACAAATTCGAGGCCTTGTCTACGCTATTAACCTCAGATCTGGATCTGGGAAACTGAATATTTTGAAGGCCTATGAATATTACGGGCGGATTGAGCTCGTCGACATTACGTAGTGCACCCAAAACGAACTAAACATATTCTTAAAATCGAATAAGAGATCCAGAATAGGGGTGGCACTTTACTGTTACTTTTACGGGTAATCCAAATATTGTATATATTCCTATTACCAGTAACAGTAATACTTTCCAGTTTTACTGTTCCTGGTTATAGGAATGTTCATGAAATTTGTACCAGCAACCGTAAAACTGGAAAGTATTACTGCTACTGGTAATAGGAATATATACAATATTTTGATTACTCGTAAAAGTAACAGTAATGTGCCACCTCTAATCCAGAATACCTAATTTCCACTGTTTCTCTATAGTACTCAGCGGAATGTGTCGCAGCCTCAATGGAAAAAATGTGTCGCAAGTGGCTTCCGGTGTCGCAGATGATTATGTCGCACATTATGTCGCAATTTGCGACACATTATTTTTTAGTGTGCAGGCGTTATCTACACTACGCAATTTTCGACCTTAACTCTCAGTTAACTCAGAAATTTTTCCCGAAGTTCGGTAAACATACGTGATTAAAGCTATTAAGGATCGATATGCTGGATCTTACCCGCACTAGCAACAGCCTTTAGCTTTTGACACATAGTCTTCTAAAGTTTTCCTACGAGTCTCATGAAATTCAATGCTCACTGGATTGAGCTCGCTTCATCGTCACGGGGATTGCAAAATCGATTCAGAAAAGACTGAGAACGATGGGAACGGACAGGCATGAAAGTTGAGTTATTGCATTTCACATCACGTATATGACATTGATGATTTTAATTTAATTTTGATTGAATCATTTATCAATGTTAATGGTTTATCAGAATCTCCTTTATCTGCAGAGACTATGCCAAGATTTTCATAACATATTGATATATTTTCATCATCTGTTATATTGAGTTTCGTTAAACATTTTAGATGTAATTGTTCAGCCGTATCTAAATTACCCATTCTACGCATGACATATCCTAAATCTGTTAACGTCACATAATCACCAATTTCCTCTTTTAACGAACGATATACGTCTTTTA